CAAAGCAGAACACCCAGAACAAAAGAAACCCTAATGACACTAGTCATCACCGGCATCATCATCCGTATCATCGTCATCAACACCCCTATCATCGTCACCACTATCGATGACCGGGGAGTCAAGCGGTGGTCTTCTTCCCTCGACCGAGCCTGCCGACATAATCTACGGGCCTCTATTTAGGATATATGGTCTTGGGGTATACTATACAAAGGGATACTATACAAAAATTTTGATAAGGAACCACAAGATACTTAGTGGTAACTATTTTAAGCCCCTAGACCATGTAGATGGCAGTTTTCGATGGCAACAAAGGGCAACCAGGGCCAGGGCTGCTCATGTAGGGGCCTTAATAATTAGAATAGGGTTCTTGAAGTTCCTTTACGGGTTCCTTAAGGGGTTCTATAAGGGCTACCATAAAGGTTTAGGGTTTAGGGGTCTTGATAATAGTTAGAATAGGGTTTTGGGGCTTCCCTATTCTAACGATAGTACAATATACCCCAAACCCGATTCGAATTATTAAGGCCCCTGTATTAAACTACACTTGCAAACACCTACACCCGCAAAAGATTTTCTTTCTAGTGACGGAGGAGCAGCAGCAGCAGCAGAACCCCAAACCCTACACCCTACGCTCTAACCCCAGAAGTGGTAATGGCAGCCAGCAGCGAAAAATGCGCAAAACCCTGAAGCCATCCAAACCCTAAGCTTTACACTCAAAACCCGGACAGCCTAAACCCCACACCCTAGAAACCTAAGCCTAGACAGCTGAAAGGAGAGCACTGAGAACCCTTGAGGGCTTGGGTCAGCCAACAAGAGCCTTTACAAAGGCTTTACAGTCGTGTAATATAGGGGCCTTAATAATTAGAATGGGGTTTTGGGCCCATTATACTATAAATATAATAAGGAACCACCAAAATAATATAGGTAATTATTTAAGCCCCTACATTACTCCTTACAAGGCTTCAAAAAGGCTTTATCACAGGGGCTTTAAAAAACGGGGTTTTTAAGAGCGGGCGTTCGCGTTGTACGGCTTTCGCCGTTTTTATGTCGGGTTTGTAGAGCTCTATAAGTCTTTATATGGGGGCCCACCCACCAGTCTCACGGGGATAAGGCTGGATGTTTTTATCAAGCGTAATAGAACTACTCTTCTGCCGTAAAGGCATGGCCCCCCACACTTTCCAAGCCCCAGACCCCAAACCCCAAATCCTGAACCTTATAGGGGCCTTAATAATTAGAATAGGGTTATGATA